TCTGTTTGTCTGTGCTTTTTCGTTAACTTCAAAGTAAGGGGAAAGGGATTTTTTTTGCCATCGCCATTTTCCAGCGAAATTATAAGAGATTGTATAATTGACAAGACGCTTTTTGTCCTTCTGCCTTCTGGGAGATGAACCTCTACATAAAGTTCACACGGCTTTTGAGAGATGTCCATAGTTTCAGGGAAGTTCAAACGAACTAGTCAGAGTCACCACGCCCCACAGAATAGGCCGAAACTAACGAAAACTAAGTATTATAGTAACTAGATGGCCATAGGATCCGAACCGAGATTTAATTGTATGACTAAGGATTACAGCGATAATGTACGATGTCAACAACACCCCGGTGCCGAACGATCCTACCATTCTTCAGATGTATCGACAATCGCTGCTGTTTCTCCCGCAGAACACCTGGTACGATTGATGGTTCACCAATCAGTCAGCCGTACAGCTCATTCTATGGACTGAACTCGGATTCGATTGACTGTGGAGGTTCTCTCTACGCTTTTTCGCAACTATTCGTATCACCGACGGCAACAGCAACATTAAGAAAGATGCTGCTAACAGAGTTATGAAGGTAACCACACCGGAGGAAACATAGCCAATCTGAATCGCGGTCTTAATGAACGCAATCGGAACCAGCAGCCGTTTCAGGGAGATTAATATGCGATTCTGGCATGACCAAGGATAAAAAATATGAAGGAACAACAGGAAGAAACAAGGAGGAGGTAGTCATCAAACGACTACAACCAGTATCGAGATTCTGGACCGACATTTCGATGGGCAGTCAGACGAATTTAGTACCTAACCACGACTGCTGACACTGGGAAGCTACTGCAGGTCTATTGCTGCTACTACTACCGCCGGTGGGCATTTTAGGTCGAGAGTCCTTCCTATTGATATTGCAGACAAGATTCATCTTCCACTTGCCGGTTGGGTACTTGCTTTCGGCAAACGTTTGAAAGAATGATGCACGGTAGAGAGCTGTCTTCTCCTGGATGAGCAGCTTCTGCCATCAGTCACCCTGCTGCTTCTCGCGGAGGGGCTTATCTTCGAGTGCCATTTTCTCGAAGCGGATGACCGACAACCAGCTCGTTGAATATTATATTGGAATTAAGTTTCACGACTTTTTCCGTCCTTGACTTGAAAATGTAAACAAACAATCTCAAAAGTCATAAGTGCAGAGTTGCCAAACTCATGGGTTAATGAGACTGATAAACTTGATTGCCACACACCTCTCATTTTATCTGTCAAACTTTCATAGAGAATCAAAACAAACATAGTGTAGTACTAGAATTTCGACTAGAATGTGGTACGTTAATCGATTTGCTTGGGACCAATAGGCTACTAAAGTGGTGAGCCAATTTTAAATCGATAGTTTCGTATTGATTGTTGATAATAGGGTGATTTTTATGAATCAATTTTCTGTCAAACGCATTGAAACTAGAGATGGGCGATCCGCTCCGGAGCTGTTCTAAAGACCCGATTCACTAAAGTGAGCTGATGACCCGCGGTTCATTTTTTTTAGGAACCGCAGCTCATCAGCACACTGTTATCAGAAATCTCACTCAATCCGTCACTTATAGCGGAGTTTATCCAAAAAGCACGCATTGCTCCTTTACGCATTGAGCAGCCACCAACAATCAATACGAAACTAACGATTTTAAATTGGCTCACCACTTTAGTAGCCTATTGGTCCCAAGCAAACGATTAACGTACCCTATTCTAGTTGAAATTCTATTACTACACTATGTTTGTTTTGATTCGCTATGAAAGTTTGACAGATAACATCAGAGGTGTGTGGATTCATGCAGAACATGCAGGGGTGAGTGAAATAGCTTGGGACTGCTTGGGACCGTTATTCAGGTACTGAGTGAGCCAAAAATAATAATGATTTTCTTCGGGACCCAGTGGTCTTAGAGTTACCTCTATGCAGCCACCGCGTAAACCAAGATGCGCGCGTAATTCAACATGTACCTACGATTAGACGATCTTTAATTTCTACTGGTATTATCCAATGTATTTACATATCCGGCTCTTATTTCTGCTGTTATCCCTCCAGTATATGTGCTCTTATCTCTCCTCCCATAATTCTCTCCAGCTTATCAGCTCAGCTCCGGATCCGAATAATCGGCTCGAATGATTCACTGATATAACAGCTCTCGGACCCGTCCAGCTCTTCGGATCTTTTTTTATCTCGATTCGTCACGATTCAGCTCCGGATCCGGATCCAAGCTGATGATCTGGAGCAGAAGCCGAGAATAGTGCGAGCAATTGTGTTGGAGAATCAAGGTGGATTCCGTCCCGAGCGATATTTCACGCGCGGGGCGAGATTTTGCGAATGTACGAAAGGCAGAGAAGTACTAGTTGTCTCTCTCATTCCAACGCAAATTCTACTCCGCTCCGCTAATGCCCGCTCAGATCTGAATACACCATTAGACTTATGATATCAGTCAGCTGATGAGCTGCGGTTCCTTAAAAATGAGCCACGGGTCATCAGCTGACTTTAGTGAGTCGGGTCTATAGAACAGCTCGAGAGCCCATCTCTAGATCTGAGCTGATGATCTGGAGCTGAAGCCGAGACTAGTGAGAGCAAATCTGCGGAAGAATTAACATCAGAAATAAAATCTGTATGTAGACTTGAATGTATAGCTTGTGAAAAGGCGTAACATCGTGTAACACGATGTCGATCATATCATTGCGTGTGAAATTTGTGTCAAAATTTCTATAATTTCATGGTGAGCTAAAGAGCTGTTTGAAAGAATCGACTCCTTTTAATGAGCTGGACGGGTCTGATCCGCTCAGCCAGATGAGATATTTTGCCCACCTCTAATTGAAACGCGAGAATTTTTACAACAGGGAATCTATTTTCTTGTATTTTGACAGTCGACTACGTCGCCCATAATGAAACAGTTTTTGCACGGTCGTTTCCGCACACGTCACAACTCGTCACAGACAAAAAGAAGCCAGTTGTCTGCTCTTCCTCTTAACTAACAACTAACAACTCCCTCCTGTTCTTTCATGAAGGCCAATGTCATAAACGTAGACAATTCAGTGCCAACATTTCAAAGGGGCGTAATTGCATTTGTAAACAATGGCTTTAGTCGTCGATTTCTCGCGAATGAAAGCTCACTCATGAAAATGAATGACACCAGCATGCAGAGGAATGTTTCCTGTATCAGCTAGCATTTGTAATTTGGAGGGGTGGGTTTTGATTTGCGAGAAATCGACGTCTAAAGCCATTGTTTACAAAAGCAATTACGCCCCTTTGAAATGTTGGCACTGAATTACTTCTTCCACGAATTTCTCGACGATGAAAACTCGCTCAAGTAAACCACCACATGATTGTGTAAAGGAAGAGTCCCCCTATCCGACATAATTAGTGGCTTATATTGATAGACTTTGAAATACGGAAATTTTTCGAAAGAAGACATTGTTTACGTTTGCGGCATTTGCCCTTATAAACTCTCAGTGTCGAACTGAGATGTTGAGGAGGATTTCGTCAGAGTTTGATCATGAAATGTAGGTGCTTCGACATCACTGATTACAACCTGGATAACGAGTTCTGTCCGAAAAGGTGAGACCGACGTCTGACAGAGCAGCAGCAGGTTTGCGGTACTTGCTTGGATACTTGCACTGATTAAAATCATTAAATTGGGTATCTTCCAGGTGGGAGGCTGAGGTGGTTGCAAGAGGAAACGAGCATTGCTTGATGGATGGATTTCGGGAGTACTCGGAGTAAAGGATGTCGGGATCTTGCGAGGGAAGTTATTGGTTGGGAGCGGTATAGGACGAGTGCCGGAGTTAGGATTCTCCTTCTGCTGCTGATGGGTTGCCAACCGGGGAGTGGATAGGTGATTTGCGAGGTGTTGTCGCTGATATTCAGGCAGATTATTGCGATTGGAGTCTGTGGGTCGGCGTTTGGGACGGTGGTCATGGACCAGAGACAGAGGAGGGAAGGGATGTGTATTTAAGACGGATTCCCTATGAAGTGGAGTGGAGAGTTTGGATCGGCTGACTTGACCTCGATGGTGGATTCTAGTTCTGTCCTTCCAGACGTTGGAATTAAATTTAGGAAACTAAGATGTGCATCTGCTGGATCCTTTTCCCGGTCATATTTGCAGTAGCTGATCGGCTGCCATTGCTTGGGGCCAAGATTGCATCAACTGGACGGAATATTGGCAGGTGAGGTGCATAGAACATGGGACAGTTATGCGTAGAACGGCAGTGTAGTGGCCAACAATTAAGCTCGAGATTTTCTTCTTCGCGATCAAGAAAGTGAAACTAACACTTATTGAGTAAATTTTATTTAACTGTTAAATGAAACGTATAATGGATTACTTTTGTCCCCCTAGCAAAAAAAAAATGTATAAGAGAAACACATGATCAAAATGATTAATTTTCGTTTCGTGCAGAAAGTACTGTACAGTGAGCAGATGGTATGTCTGACGAATGACCAGCGCCTACTAGAGCATCTGACAGGTCGGTTGGTATGCTGTCGAGAAGATCAGAAGCGCTGTTCTGTTTTGTAAAAATTGACTTGCTTGATGATTCAAAAGAATCCTCTGGTTACTTGGAAAGGTTGATGTCTTGGTCCTCTCCACTCTTCAAATACTTCCACTTTCACAAAATTTTGACGTTCTGGTACCTATGGGACTAGATGTTTCGGTATAGAGGCATATTCAGATTCCATGGCAAAATTAATAGGTTGCTTCGATATGCAAAATGTGTCTCAGTTCGTATAATGCGTCCCAGTCGCAACGTCAGCCGGATGTTAGTGATGAATTCGTCTTTGGTGATGGTTTCGAGCCTGTTGACGGCGTAATTTAGTTCTGAAAAAGCAACAATACCAATAGTTTCAATCAAAACAACATGGCCACGTGTATTTTGTGTGTAATGAAGCTTGTATTTTCGTTAATTTTTGACAAATTTGATCTCAGTTCTAGTGGTAAACAAGAATCTAAACTTGCCTTTTTCGCTTTTGCTTCTCGTTTCAGCGCTCTATCAAGGACATCCTGTGCACCCAGCAGCGCGAGTGCGCCATGGTAAGCTATATTTCCGTTCTCGTATGTACATATGTACGTATGCTTTCTCCGCAATGACCGTCGTTATCCTTCTGCTTCTCCTTCTGTTTGGGCACAGTTGGATCGAAGCCCGGAAAGGACCATTTGTCCTTTTACAGCTTCCTGACTGCCTGCCTGCTTGCGTTCTCCTTTGGGAGCGGGTCTGGTCCGGGTTTAATTGAAACTGGTGACGTTTATCGGCGGCAAACAGCCACAGTCAGTCGCTACCGAACCAGATGCGAACGGAGCCGGAGAAGGACACGACCCCGATTACTTCCGGTACATCGACTTTGGAATCGTTTATGGTGTGAGCTGGTTCTGAAGGCGACGATTATTGGAAGTGATAAGTGACCGTTTTTCCTCCCCGGTTCGCTGGCAGAGGAAATTTAGCGGTGAGATTCTGGTCGATCACTGTAAACAAACGTTTCAAGAACAAGACGATGGTAACCCGATTAGAAAGGTCTATTTTGGCTCACGTTGAGTATCCACCTCAGTATCCACAGCTGAGTGGCAATTTGAATAAACATCCTCAGAACTGTTTTACCGTGCATTCCTGTGTTGTGTCAAAATTTCTTACACTGTGTTAAATATGCACGTCAAATATCCACGCATCAGCAAATCTTTTTTTTTTTAAAGATGTCATGTTTCAATCGTAATGCTCCAGCATTCAATGATAATCTTAGGAATTTCTGTTCGGGCTGCCTTGCCCTCTCCACATCTGGAGAAGTGTAAAGCGAGACCGGAAATTGGTGTGTTTTTACAATTTTCCCTTTCACCGGCCGACTCAGGAAAAGCGTCGTCCAGGCCCAACAGCGCCGAAAGAAAGGGAAGCAATTAAATGTGTTAGTTTTCCTTCCGGCCAATGTCATCGTCGTCGTCGTCGTCGACGACGAAGCCGTCGCCATCGGACGGAGGGAGATGACAATTCCTGTGTTTGTTGTAGTATTATGGGGCTTCAGGCTATATTTCAGTACTCTTAATGGCGACGCGCATCGATGCCGCCGTGAGAGCGTTCCGCTTCATTTAATCTTCATATAGGTACGCCCTCTTTCGTGCTACTTCAGATGACACGTCAGTTGACAGCACTCTAGTTTTAGGCTGCCACCGTTTGGAAAAAAAGAGACTAGTTGTGCCCTTTTTTTTTCTCTTCGTTGGAATTTAGAGTGCACCTGCTATTCGGCGTGGTTATCTAAAAAACATGCCCGTAATTTACGGCTGAGGAGTGCACTCTGCAGGAGCCGTCCGTCGACCATCCGTGGTCCAGGTTGAAACTGGATTTTAATTTTGGTAGCCAATAAACAAATCTTCTCTGGAAACACCGCCGCCGCCACCGGCCGCTGGCTGCGCCGGGCAAAGAGGAAGGTTTGATAATTTATTAGACGAACGTCTCCAGGGCTTTGCCTTCCAGAGCGAGAGAAAGATGCCGGTGGAGGAATTTCCCTCTTAAAACAAACGACCGGGAGGAGACGCGCGCTACCTTAGGTCGATGTCGTAAAAATAAATGAGACCGAGTGAAGGAGCCAAAATGGATAAAAATAACCTCCGCTTGTTTGCCAGATAAGGAAACGATGATTCTCGAGAATGTTTCGTTTTCTAGTTTGATGTTTTCCCCTTTTCGTTTATGACTGGTCATTTCGGAGAATTTAGTCCCTTTCCTAACCTCTTCTTCTCCCTGTGCGTCAGAAGTTCTCTAACCGGTCCTTCTTTCTAGAGTGCTGGGACGTGTGCAACCGTAACCACCAGATTAGGAAGGAGAACGAACTAGTGCACCGGCTGCTTCTGAGCCTGAATCGCATGATCCGGAACGAATCCGTCGTGACGGCGGACATCGAGTGGACCACGCCGGAGGAACTGCTCGAACACCAGCCGCATCCGGGCGCTCCGTCACCGCTGGCAGCCAGCGAAAACGTAGAACGGCTGAGTCGAATCGCGAGGGACGGTGGAAGCGGTTCGAATGGGACTTCATCCTCGTCGGTATCGAAAATCATTCAGGCCCTCAGTCAGGCGTCTTCACTGCTGGGACCGGAATCGAAAACGGTGACCAGTAGCAGCAGTACTAACGGCAGCGGTGGCGATAAAACCTTCCATCAGTGTCTAGTATCGTGGGAGATTTCCGGTGGAGGTCTCACCGGCAACCTGCTTACCGAAACTGCCAAAGTTGAGCTCTCCCTGTGGCCAAACACCAAATACCACGTGCACGTCACCTGTCGGAATAGGGTAAGTTGAAGAAATTATTAACCACCACGTAGGAAAATTGCGAATTTCTGAATTTAGTTTCATTTAGACAAACTGAAGACACTGGTTAAAAGAAAAGTTTTGCTTCAGTGTTCTCAGTTATGCACGCTTATTCAACGTTACTCAAAAATTATAACGGACTAGCAACACGTCTCTGAAAGTGCAAAAATACGGTTCTAACCTCAAATACCTTCCATTCCTCCCCCCTCTCCGGAAACAGGAAACCGACCAACTGATCCGGTCGGCTCCGCTGTTGATCGACACCAGTGATGCATTGGTTGTGAGCCTTCACGGGACCACAACCACTACCACAACCACAACAACCTCGACGCCTCGGCCCCTGGCCGCTATCAATCGCTCGGTGATCGAGGAAATCGAAGTGGTTCAGGAGGCTACCGCGTTCGAAAGCGCCGCTGACGTCGACACCGATGATGACGCAGACGACGACGACGAGAATGCTGTCAGCTACCAAAAAACAAAACCGAACCCGGCTCAACATCGCCACAGTCTGTGGCCAATCTACAGCAGTGCCACCGAGCTGCCGGGAAACTCCAAGGAAGTGCTGATCCTCGGAGTGTTCGTTGCGATACTGGCTTTCGTGCTGATCGTGCTGACCGTCGTCATTCTGGTCCGGCGGAAGCAGGACCAAATCGAAGACCGGGAACTGCTGATCGAGAGCGAGGTCCTACCGAAGATCCTGCACGTTTGATAGGATAGTCGGCTGGACGGCTATGGCGATGACGACGACAACGAAGTCGGAGGGTGTTTTCTGTAAATAGCTGTTTTTATTAGGCTTCTACTCCCTTTTGCTCCTCCTACTTAAATAACAAATATGAAAAAAAGCTTTCTTTCTAATTTAATGCCAGCTCACTCCTTTCCAGTATGTAAATTATTGATTTGATCGACATTCTGATTTCCGATTAGGTTATCATCGTGTGCGGCGAGCACTGCAGCATTGGCAAAGGTCCAGAAAATATCCAATAATGTCAAAATTAAGCTAAACCTAAACGGGCAGCAGCGATCGTATTGAGCAGGAAATCGTGAAACATAATTAAAAACTAATCGCAGAAATTAAAGAATGATACTAGTCCTTTTTTTTTGAGAATGAGTGAAAGCGATGGGACAGAGATGAGACAGATAGCGAGTGTTTATGGAAAGATGCGAACATGGAAGTGCTGTGATGAGCAATTTGACAGGGAAATTAGCAAGGCGAGGGGAAGATTGAAAAGAAAGATAGAGAGCGAGAGAAAGTAAAAATGTCAAGTCTTTATTATTAGAAGTGAATGTGTTTATAGTTAGAGCAGATAGTAAGACGGGGGAAAACAAAAGTACGGGAAAATGGGAAAATTTTATCAAAGTTACTAGGAGAATCAATACAAATAAAACAAAAACAAATATTGAGGCAAATACGAATAAATGAAATTGTAAAATAGGTGAGAACTAACTGAAAGAAAAAGAAAACCAATCATCCTTGTGTACATTGTGTAAAAAGACTGAAAATAATGTAAAATAAATAAACTCGAAATAATGAAATAATGGATGCAGTGCTTGTTTTGGTTTATCTTTGAAAGAAATTTCTCATGAGATGCAGAATGGTAAGTTATATTATTTGATCACTTTGAATTTACAGGATTGATCGAAGTAGGTTCTGCTCGCGAACGGTTGAGTTTCTTGCGCTGTCACGAAGTTCGGTTGTGTGATTCTTTGAAAATGAAGATTTTTCGCGGCGGCGTTAATAAATTGATAACGATTGTGAATAGTTCTGCAGTCGTGTTTTGCCTTCGGTGTTTTTCGACAACATCACTGATCACTGATAGGGAGTCCGGGAGAGAATCTGGCAGACCTGAAATGTGGAGGATCTGTATCAGATTTTCGTCGTTTTAACAGTGTGAAAACGAGAAAAAAGTGCAATTTATAAGTGTTAAGTAAAAGGAAAGTGTTCAAGTTTATGCAGGGCATTACAGATAGTACTCCAAGAAGCACTTAATGCTTCACCAAATTTCCAAAAGTTTTCCATAAATCATTAATAAAACATAAAGACTTCTGCCAAAGAGTTTGCAATGAGAGGTATGAAAATATGAAAATATGTGTCGTGTCGTTGATGTGTGTTATGTGTCATTTGGCTAGGCTTTTATTTTTTTTTTCAAATGAAAGTGGTTTTGAAAAAACAGAAACCATGATTTATCAGCTACACGGCAATGGTATGCATTAATTTGTGACGTTCTGCAAAAAAAGTTGTTGAATATTACATCGAAACTGCTGCAACCTGGTCAATCCATCGGTTGTGTAATATCACATTGTACGATGTACATCGATTTTGCGAACAAGATTACATCCGTTGATGTAATATTGTATCTGCTTTTTGCTATTACATCATTATTTCATACATCAGCTTGAATTACGTTGATCGATATTACATTTTTTTTGCTGTGTACGAATTTAAAATTGGCACGATAATATCATAAAGATAACTCTAAGACCAGAAGGTCCCGGAGAAACGTGCTCAACTTTTTGGCTCAGCTCTGGTACTCTCTTCGGTCCCAAGCTAATCGATTCACCCCTCGAAACATAGAAAAATCCACGAACCCCTCATTTTACCTGTCAAACTTTCATAGCAAATCAAAACAATAGTAAGTAATAGAATTTCGACTAGAATGGGGTACGTTAATCGATTTGCGTGGGACCAATAGGCTAGTCAAGTAGTGAGCCAATTTAAAATCGTTAGTTTCCACCGGTTGGTAATTTGCAGTTGTAGAACCCGAATAGAAATTTACATTAGCCCAACGTTTGATTTTGATGTCTACATCAGCATCGAAATCAAATGTATGCCTGATGTCAAACATTAGAAAACATTATGATTTAGTTGTATTTAAGCAACGTAACATGGTGTATACATCAGAAATTTTGGAACAAAATTTTGCCATTCTAATGTCGGTCTGACGTCAAAAATTTCAATCTATTGACATTAGAATCAAACGTTTTAAGGATGTTTTCAGATGTAAAAAACGTTAGAACTAAACGTTGTTCGGATGTTTTTAAATGTAAACGTTTTCTGATGTTTTCTAATGTAGATGTTTCCTGATGTTAGAACCAAACGTTTTTGGATGTTTTCGGATGTACATAACGTTAGAACTAAACGTTGTTCGGATGTTTTTATATGTAAATGTATTCTGATGTTTTCTAATGTAGATGTTTCCTGATGTTAGAATCAAACGTTTTTCGGTTGTTTTCGGATGTAAAAAACGTTAGAACTAAACGTTGTTCGGATGTTTTTATATGTAAATGTATTCTGATGTTTTCTAACGTAGATGTTTCCCGATGCTAGAACCAAACATTTTTTGGATGTTTTCGGATGTACACAACGTTAGAACTAAACGTTGTTCGGATGTTTTCAATTGTACTTCGTGTTTGTTGTTCTCTGATGTTTTCAGATGCACAAAACGTTTAAAGTAAACGTTGTTTGAATGTTTTCAAATGTAGATGTTTACTAATGTTTTTAGATATACAAAACACTAGAATCTTACTTTTCAAATGCTTTCAATTATATTTACAACACATTAGAATTAGAAACATGATCGTGTAAACACTACACACCATTGTTGTTAGATAACATCATAAAAATGCGTACATAATAGTCAATGCTGAAGCTCCCGTTTCCCACCAGTCAGATAACTGACCTTAGCTAACCAAATATCATTGCGGCAACTCTCTATGCGGCAGGGGAACTATGCCATTAGTGCGCTAAGAGTTATTAGACCACTGACATAGGCGCCAATTTGTAGGTGACGAGGCACTTGGTGACATTACAGCGAGCTTGACGATTGTTGTAGCATTTTTTTTAGCAAACTACCAGTTAAGGTGTGTAGTGTTTACAAGATCATGTTTCTAGCTCTAATGCTTTGTACAATTGAAAGCATTGGAAAAGTTAATTCTCATGTTTTGCATAACCGAAACCATCAGAAAACATAAAATAGTACAAAAAAAAACATCCATTCTGGTAGACTATCTCTTAAATGCATACAGAATAGCCATTGCTTAAGCTCCCGTTTCCCACCAGTCAGTTAACTGACCTTAGCTAACCTAATATCATTGTGGCAACTCTCTATGCGGCAGGGGAACTATGCCATTTGCGCGCTAAGAGTTGTTAGACCACTGACATAGGCGCCTATTCGTGGGTGACGAGGCACTTGGTGACATTACAGCAAGCTTGGCGATTGTTATAGCATTTTTGAGTGAACTACCAGACAATCATGACAATAAGATCGCTGCGCCTCCAGATCTCCCTTTAAATCGACCCGCTGTGCCAATTTGTCAATAATGCATGACACTTTGGACGTGGATCGGGATGATCCACAAATGCGGAAAGTTTTGGGCTACCAGTCTTCTACCTAATTGACGAACTGCAAATATATAATAAACAAAATTATTGTGCATGAAAAATATGACAATGTACAATGCTCGAGGAACACTGGGAGTTTTCGAACGACGCGTGCTTAGGAATGCCGGACAACAATCCCGCAAAAATGGTGTTTTCCTCAAATCCGGCCGGTACAAGACAAAGAAAAATACAGCGTGCTAGGTGGTTAGACCAAGTGGAGCAAGATGTAGGAAGTGTGGGATGCTCGAGAAATTGGAGACAAGCAGTCAGGGACCGAGTTAGTTGGCGCAACTTTGTTATACAGGTCAAATCTTGAGGGACGTCGGACCAGCAAAAGTAAAGTAAGTATCTTATACGTTTGCCAACATTCCACGACAATATATGATTAGGTTTTCACTTGGTATGTAATGAACAACAGAGATACGCGATAATTCGTATAGTTTCTGCGATTGATGGTTAATTTTAAATGTACGTATAGTACTATATAACAGCATAACTGGATCGTCATGTTCACCATCTGTCATTGTCTGCAAAAATATTTAATAGCAGTTACCTGTGTTGTGATACTTCCTTCAATGAAAACTAATTTTCTTGCATTGCCATGGTCATCTGGGATGAGGCTGGTCCACTGATCATTCGGAATGAGCTCTCCACACATCATTGAATCAATGTAGGATCAATGTAGATATGTAGATATCAATGTACATAGATGGTGTCATATGCAAAGTGCGAAAAGATAATGAAAGGAATACGAAAAAGATTAGCATCAAGAAGTAACAGTTTCATCGGATTAGTCACCAAGTCCCCCACCACTGCTATCTGCAGCCCTATCACTCCCATCCCCACGATTGCGGAAGAGAATAATAAAGTTCTTGATTTAATTTAAAGAAATTAATATTTAATATCGGGATCCGTATTCGGTTTCCCCATTGGGACACGTACTCGGTTTCCCCATCGGGATCCGTATTCGGTTTCCCCATCGGGATTCGTATTCGGTTTCCCCATCGGGATCCGTCTACGGAATCCCTATTGGGATGCGTATTCGGTTTCCCCATCGGGATCCGTATTCGGTTTCCCCATCGGGATCCGTATTCGGTTTCCCCATCGGGATCCGTCTACGAAATCCCCATCGGGATCCGTCTACGGAATCCCCATCGGGATGCGTATTCGGTTTCCCCATCGGGATCCGTATTCGGTTTCCCCATCGGGATTCGTATTCGGTTTCCCCATCGGGATCCGTCTACGGAATCCCTATTGGGATGCGTATTCGGTTTCCCAATCGGGATCCGTATTCGGTTTGCCCATCGGGATCCGTATTCGGTTTCCCCATCGGGATCCGTCTACGGAATCCCTATTGGGATGCGTATTCGGTTTCCCCATCGGGATCCGTATTCGGTTTGCCCATCGGGATCCGTATTCGGTTTCCCCATCGGGATCCGTCTACGAAATCCCCATAGGGATCCGTCTACGGAATCCCCATCGGGATGCGTATTCGGTTTCCCCATCGGGATCCGTATTCGGTTTCCCCATCGGGATTCGTATTCGGTTTCCCCATCGGAATCCGTCTACGAAATCCCCATCGGGATCCGTCTACGGAATCCCCATCGGGACCCGTATTCGGTTTCCCCATCGGGATCTGTCGATGGAACCCGTCATCGGGATCCGTCTACGGAACCCGTCATCGGGATCCGTCTACGGAACCCGTCATCGGGATCCGCCTACGGAACCCGTCATTTTCCACTTTATTTTAGCTTTTAGTAGGGGTAAGAGGGGCATAGTGAACAGGTGGGGCATAGTGAGCATCCAGCTTGAACTTCCGGCTGTTCGGAAAAAAAAATTGTTGGTGGTAGGATCAATATCATAATGATATTGAACCTACTACCAGTTGATTTGTTTCATGCAGCTGGAGATCCAAAGCCAAACTGCGGGATGCTCACTATGCCCCTCTTCCCCCTATTTATTTATTTATTTGTCAATCAAATAAAAAAAAAACAATAAACACATTCACTAACCTGCAAAGAGATCCGGCTTCGAAATCCCCGCCGGGATCCAGCTTCGGACTCCCTACCGGGATCCGGCTTCGCACTGGTTCACTTTCCTAAAAAAAAAACATAATTACAGTACATTAATTTAAAATTTTAAATTTTACTTACCT